TTAAATGCAGCAGTCTTGGCTTACAGATGATGCAGCAGCAGGACTCCTGTGTCTCCTCTTGTAGACACAGGAGTACCTTATTTTCCATTGAGTGGAAGATTATGAATGATCTAAAGGAAAAACAGTTTAAAATGCCTCCTTTTATCTGTATGCTGTGCTCTACTCTGAAAGAATGTTTGCACTGATGTGCTTGCTATGAGACAGGTGGCCTGGAAAAGTTAAATTGGTATAATAAATAGACAATACAAAAAATAAAAAATCCCTTATCAAAAGAAGAACAAAAAAAGAAAGGGAGAAGGAAAAAATGAAAGAAAGAAAGAGAAAGAAGGAAAGAAAGAAGGGAAGAAAAAAATAAGGAAAGGAAAGGACGGAAGGGAGAGAAAGAGAGAAAGAGAGAAGGAAAGAAGGAAAGGAAGAAAGAAAAGTAACAAATTAAGTTTTAGCAAAAACTGCCTAGAAAAAGATTAACACTATATGGTCCTGACTTTTGAATAAATTTATTCTTAAGTAGATTCCACTAGAAGGAGAACTACTACGAAACAATAAATGTAACAAATAGGAAGAGAAACAAACAGACAGACAGCTTCATGTTAGCAACAGATCATTTTTTCTCCATCCGAAGCAGAGGCAAGCTATGGATAGCCCTTCCAAAGAAAGAGCCTCTCCTAAACTGAATATGCAAGAGCTACATTCACAGAAGAACAGAGAACCACTCCCTGTCCACGCTTCAGACGTATAAAGACTTTGACAAAGAAGAATGGCTTCTCTGGAAAGGAAATAGCATAATACTCGTTTGCTTTGTTCATGGCTAAGCTCATAATTGAACAAAAAGACATAACTGAAAGGCAAGGAATCTGGCAGTGAACAACAGCATCAGTGTTTAGTCAAGAATGAACTGCCCAATTATTGTGAGGGGAGTCCTCCACAAGAAACAGTGGTGTTATTAACAACCAGCAAAATCCAAACTGTTGGAAGGTTTTCAATGCAAATTCCAAACATTTCCTGTTGATGAAATAACAGAATGAAAATTCTCTACTGAGTTGTATGTTGATGCATGTAAGACCACAATTATCTAAAAGAGGAAGCTGGGGATAATGCAGCTTTTAAGTCATATTCACTCAGAGGCTGAGGAAATACATCCCAAATTGGTTTTGCCCTTTTTTATCCCCTCATACAAACAACACTGATTTCTAGATGAAGTGCATGAGTTCACACTCAACTCAGGAAACTATTTCAGAAGATTGTGCTTAACATTCAAAAACTGATTATTCAAACACCCAATGTCAGGCATCACCAAAACACAAAAGATTTGCCTGAACAGTTTTCATCAGCATACGTTTGTTTATTCCAATAATTCTATGATTTCCATCTGGTTTCATGCCATGCAGAGGATAAATGAAGGTTAGGTAATGAGGTACAGCTGCAATTGTTTTGCATGTTCCTAAAAGTGGAAATAGATTTTGATCAAATTGAACAGTTCACAGGAAGGTGAAGAAATACAGTCTAGGTCCTGAGAAACCAAGCTTTTATCTAAGCTTTTATCTCTGTATCTGAGATGTTCAGTGTGCTGTCAGCAACCTAATTTTTCAGAAGTGATCACTGACAAATGTCTTGGCAGTTATATTTAGCAGTCTGTATTGCCACTGCATTTAACGCAATCAGGATAACATATTATGCCATCAACTCTTATTGCACAGATCTTAGATATCTTACACTGGACCATCCAAAACTACTGGATAATTTTAACCTAGATCAGTAGGTAAAATGATTGTTCCTTCATATAGATTTCTTCAGATAAATGAGAAAATTGGTTAAGATTTGTGAACCATTAAATATCTGCACGCTGAGGAACAAGGAAAAGCTCAGAAAAAATAATACCTTCACAGCAGGGTAGGAAAAGTATAAACTAAACATGTTTAAACTATTTTAAAGTATATTAAACTATACTTGAAAAATAATAGTAAGCTATCCACGAACATTAAATGTTAAGTGAGCACTTAAACTGTGAAACTCATGTATTTAAGTACTTCAATCATAAGAGGTAAGTATAAATGCATGTAAGTACACACAGATGATTTCAATTTTACCTTTAACTTTCTGAGTGTAAATGTTTGAACCTTAAGAACATCTTTTAACTTGGAAACCCCTCTGCTTCCACTTTTTTTTTTTTTTTCTTAAGCCAATGAAGGATGGAAAAGACAAAAAGACAGAAGAGACTTCGCTGTTATTCTCTTTAAAATTCCACACAGAATCAGTTTCTCTTGTTTCTGACACACACTGAGAACAATGAATTAGAGAAGAATTCTGAACTTGATTCTGACAAACTGGTGAAACATTAAAAACATAAAATGATTCTTGAGAGGCAGGACTGCAAGCAGTTTTAAGAAACATAAAAGAGTCCTATGGAATAAGAACAAGAGACTAAAAGAAAGACGTTATGCTCAAAATCTTAGAATTTACCATCTTTCCTAGGGAGGTATCAAAAGGATTAAAAGCGTGCTAAAACTGTCGCAGAAATAGAAGAGACCAAAACAAAGTAAAGCAATGAGTTCATATTGCCTAGGAGAAATTGACAAGAAACATAGTGAGGTGAATTTAACTGCATCAGAAATCTTACAGAAAACGAAATATAAGGAAGTAAAAAAGGAAATACTCAAGTACTTGGGATACAGTTAGAAGGACTGAGACAAAAACATTCTCTATATGGCAGGGGGCAGAGAAGAACATATAGAAATGAGTCTTTTTAATAGGTACTTCAGAATGCAGAGAAGCTATCTATCCATTATTTAACTGGGAAAAAAAAAGTTTAAAGAAAGGGAAAACAAGACAGTAGCCTCTAAGAACTGCAGATTTTAATTTTCAAAAGAGAATTATCTGAATTAAGAACTGAGTGGGATTAAGAACAATTTTGATATAAAAGAGAGATGTTCTAAACACTGTGCAACTAAATTGAATCAGGAAAAACACAGAAGTAAAATACCGCTTTGAAAGGATAGCAGTCCTCTAGCCTCTGAAAGCATAACAGTGAAAATTCTTCTGTGATGGAAAAGGGATGAGTTTTACTCCATGACCACTGCAGAAGAGGTAAAATAAGTAAATAAATTCTGTTAAAGTTGAAGCAAAGGGAGACTTAGATGGATATCAGAAAAAAAAAAAAAAGAAAAAGGAAAAAGAATAACAACTAGATGTTGGAGTAAAACTAGAGAGATTCCTAGCCCTGAATTTTTTTCTAAAGAATGGTTAGCAAAGCAGTCATCAGGGATGGCCCAGGTACACAAGACCCTGCTACGAATCACACCTCTGGTAGGGCTGCAGACAAAACCCATCCAACTAACTCAGGTCTTGCATAGAAAAAAGGTAACCAGACAGGACAGGAGAAACTACCGGACAGACCTGAGATATTGCTGGACGCTGCACACAACAGTGAGAGAAGCTGACTGAAGTTACAGATGTGCCTTGAGGGCTTGCTGGATTTTATCATTGTGGTTAAGGGGACTTCGGGGAGAAACAGCTGAACTCGAGGCAACTCTATGGGAGCTCTGTAGTTCTCTGAGGGAGTGGAAACATGCAAACCCAGCACATCAGAATGTGAGCAGATGACAGCACCAGAAGTACCATACACTGCTGAGGTGACTGAAGGAATGTTAACGGCAGTATCACACTTGGGCATCAGTTAGTAACGTTAGAAACAATATGGAAAATTGGTTGGGACAGGTTGTTCAAATGGAAGAACAGGATAGAGAAAGGGAAGTATAAAGGTGTTAAAAAGGGATCTCAAAAGAAAGGAAAAAGGATAATAATCTCAAGCAAGTGATGTGATACATTATGTCAGTGGTGGACCTACCAGGCAGCCCTGTACAGCTCATCAGCTTAAATCAGGGTAGCAAACAAAACCTGTTTTCTTGCCACATCACAAGAATCAAACTGAATTCTGCAGTTGGGAAAATCGAGGTGGGAGGAAGGTTTGGTGCTCTCCTTGGTGAGCAGGAATAACTGGATGCAGGGACTGCACATCTTAGCATCACCATACTGGTGCCTGTTTGTCCCCAACTTTTTCCTAATAACCTTGTGAAGTTTGCTTCCATCCCTGCACTTGCATGACAATTTGGTACTGTCAAAAGGGCAGAATGTAAGTCCTAGGACTCATTCCTAACACATAACAAGCACTTCCAGGACATCCTCGGGGAAAAATGACCTGTTTCTTATCTGCCTTGGAGAATGTCACTGAGCTACAGTACTATGAAAAAGCGTAAGTTGTTTTTGTCTTGTCTACTCCACAATAGTTCAGGGAATGTTTGGATTAACAATGACTTCTCCTTCCACCATCCACTAAATCCTTTGACAGCTGGGATATGGCTTGGCAGTCTTTGAAGGGGAAAGTGGAGGGGAAAAAAACACAAAATACGGGACTTAGACATCTGAATTAAATTATTAAATATCCACCATGTGAATATTCACCTGATGATTATCAAACAAGTGAATTTGTGGTAAACAAAAAGGGAAAAAATTACGTTCTTGATCCATCATATACAGTACTCTTACAGAAAAGCATAAGTATAGGTGATGAGCATCTCACTTCAGCTCAGGATGTATTTTAAACATGAATTCGTTAAATATACTGTATGGTTAAGAACAATTTAGCCTTCTTCTCAAATGCACAAGCATTAATTGCATAGCAATTTACGAACTGCCTTAAGTTCTATAATTAATAATGCATTTCATTAAGCTTATTTTAGATGACTGAAATTTCTTGTGTGCAACATTCAGCACTGAAACAATCAAATCTTGACCTTCAAAATGATGAAAGGTAAAATGCTCAATAAGCCGTTAACGTGAGTGTATGGGAACTGCTGTATCATGGCCTGAACCTCTGATTGATCACCTGAGGTGAGCACTGAGTCAGCCATAGGAGCACAGGTGAAGGCAACTCACCTGTGCTGCTGGAAGGGGTGGAGCCTGGCTGCACCTCTCCTAGAGCCATTTAAGAGCTGACTGCCAGTGGGGAAGGGTCTCTTCTGGAGTTCCCTCCTCTGGCGTTTTGCAGTGAGCCCAAGACAAGGGTAAGTATTCAATTTATTCTCTTTTTGGTATAATAACCTGTTTAGCCAAATACTCTTGTTTATTTCATTTTCAAATTATAATATCTGTAAATTCATTGATTATACACATGAGGATGAGTGGATGCTCTTGAAAATAATCCTGCTGTAACATCATATCTTAATGGAAACTCTGAATCTCTGACCTGATTCCAAACATCTGAGTGCAGTAACCCCACATTCTCAGTGCGGACAACAGCTTGTACCACTGTTAAAGCACAGTCTGAGAAGTCAGAGCAGCAGCTGCTGAAAACTATCATTACCAAGCACCACGCAACTATTTTCTCAGAGATTTATGCCCACTGTTATATTAGCTCACTCTAAAAATGATACATAACATTTGGAGGACTACAGGTGCAGTGATATGGTCATCTGTTAACTCCGAGAGTATCCCCTTTCTAGCTGGAATCAAATATTTGCACCACAGTATACTCCACAGTTGTGACTGTTCTAAAATGATAGAGCTTTTCATGCTTTTCTCACCGAGAAACTGATATGAATTAGTTTTGGGTAATCAGTGTAATCATGAACAGCCTACCAAAAAATTAAGTAGCACTCTTTTATAGCATTCAGTCTGAGAAACAGAAGTGTTTCACTGTACAGAACATTGGTTTCTGCACAGCCTACCACACAGGCAATCTGTCACTGTTGAAGATCTATTGACACAGTCAGTGGAACATGCTATATAACTCTGAAAGTCTCCCAAATGGAGTGGAAAACAGAATGAGAGGCTATGAAGTACTTTTCATTGTGAAAAATCTACCAAAGAATTTCACTACCCAGATGTATTCAACTTCACTAAAATAAAATACAGCAATGGTTGGCAGGAATAAACAAAGTAAATGCCACTTAAGAATTACAAATCAAACAAAAGCATTATTACACAGTGGAGCAAATCCTATAATTGGCAAAGTAACACTTCATTCAGTAATTTGCAAGGAGCTTCACAGATCTTTAAGCTAACTTGGGTTCCATATCAGAACAAGGACATAATAGCACACTGAAGGAGTTGTGACCATTGTTGGATTTAGGACTGCCAGAGAGAAAAGTGTATGAAAATTATTCGTGATTATTCTTGCTTATGTACATATCCTACAGTGTAGGTGAAGTTTCCATTAGGAAATCAAGACTGCAAATGCATATAGTAGAGCTCTCAGCTCATGATCTGTGAACAGCCAACCTGATCCAGATTATACCAAAACCTTTAGCAACCACAGATATTTGAACGAAGAGCCCTCCCCATCTATACAATTAATTAACTAAATGTTTGCCTATGCAATCATACCCCAGATCGCTCACCCACAAAGAAAAAGTTTGTAAGTCTGTTACTGTATCCAGCCAACAGATTGCATCCCAAACCCACATAAACCCTGAAGCTGATGCCATAAAGAACCTGGATCCAAATGTGGCTGACTTCCCAATGCCGTGTGTCCTGCAGAATTATGTCTATCATCTTGCTTTTCACTCTAATGGGTAAAAAAATGTGAAAGTGGTTTTTACTCCACATTCTAGCCATAAGCTATTGGGACACTACTAAGCCAACTTCTACCTCTGCATCTTTATCACAATAGCTTTCTTCTTTAATGAGAAGTAGCTATTGTCTCTAACTCTAGAGTCCAGATTCAAAGACTGTACAATGAGAGCTTTCACTGTTAAGCAACCAATAATACCCTAGAGGTTAAAAAAGCAGCCAGCAACTTTAACTTTGATCTTATCTTTGGCATATGTCCAGCTTTTTAAAATTTTTATTGGAACTCACCAAAATTTCTCTTTGCTCTTCCAAATTTTTTAGGAAGTTTGAAAACTCATGAAGAGAAGCATCTACAATTAAAAAAAAAAATAAAAAATAAAAATAAAAAACAGAAAAAATTGTCACCATGTTGCAGGATGGCACAGCAAAAGACATAGTCATTTATAATCACTTCTTACCTACCTATGTATCTTTCATCATCTGTCTCTGCATCACCAATGAATTCAAATTTAAAGTCTCTCAGAGAATGGGCAAATTTTCTCTGGGCTGCTGAAAGGTCTGCAAAGAAAAAAGCAAGGATGGAAGGTTAGAGAATTATTGTAAGAAAGCTGTAAAATCCTCCTACCCCTGATCAACTTTTACAATAAACCCTTAACACAGGTCTGCCTAAAGACATTACAAGATAACAAATGTTGTCTAAGCTTCTTCTGCTCTCATCTGGGAATCCGTCGCACAGATTGCTTCATATGAGGCTATGCAGTACAAAGCAAGTGCAATCATCTGTACAGTATCAGACCTATTCTTACACTTCACCATATGGTCACAAGCCATACAAACATATTTGTAACTACAGGAGTTTAAGCCACAACACTCTGATTAAGCTGTGACAGCAAAAGGGTTTTCTGCTAACCTAAACTCACCCAGCATATTTGCTAGTGCAAACGCATTTTAGCATTTCCTGTACATGTTTTGTAGATATGTATAAATATTTGACTAGGAGACATAAGCCAAACTGAAAAGAATTGTTGCATTGGAACTAGCAATTCTAAGGATTTAAAACCAGGCTAAAAGCTAAGTTCACAGTATTAATTTTATATTATTACTTTTTTATATATATATATTACTAACCTAATTTTCTACAGGAAGTTTTTATCTATTAGCGTTTGACAATTTGGGGTCAGAGGTCTACATGCTACATCCCTCAGGAAGTAATTAGATTCTATACTCAGCAGCAAAGCCCTTACTAGGATTTATAACACCAGAAATACACAGTGTACACACGCTTTTCTGTTGTGCTGACGTGTGCGTATTTGGTAATGTCACGGGTTCTGGAGGGGAGGAATTGCTCAATGGAGGAAATTAAGAAAGGATGTGCATCTTGGTACACTCTTAGTAGTAGAGGTTTTATTCAGATTTTCGGTGTCAGCCAAGGCTAAGGACGGTGTGATATGTTTGGTTAATCTGTAACTTTTTTCATATCACGTGCAGTTCTGAAAGGGCTAAGAACAAACCTTTAGCACGTTGGCTAAGCGTTTCATTTTTAAATACTGAACAGGAACTAAAGGAACTCAAAACTCTTAAATAACATACAAAAAGCCTTTTAAAAAAAAAAAAAAAAAAAAAACACAAAAAACACTAAAACCATGTCAGGTCCTACATGCAATACATTCTGTGTTGTCACCTCTCACCGTCAAGTACAATTTTGGCATACAAGTTCAACCACATCAAAGGTTAAGTCCCAAATACTCTACCAACAGCAAGACAACAACAAAATGCTTTCTGATCCTTCTCATCAATTTCTCCTAAGGTCTTTTCTCACCTATTGTTTACAAGTGCTATTCCCATCAACGTCACACTGTCAGATATTTGCCTTCCTTTTGCAGCTGCTTCTGAAGCCTGCACATGTACTCTTCAGCCCGTGAGCAGCAGGATATCTTGTGGGTTAAGAGGCTTCTAAAGCAGACAACTAAAGGTAAATGTTCTGCCAGAATTCTGAAAGAATTGGAAGTTCAAAAAAACAAGTTTCTCAAATATTTAATGTTATGCTGGTTTGTGAGCCAAGTCACAACATGAGGCTGAAAAGAGTTTATTTGTGGGAGAATGGGCCTATCAACCCACACTCTTCGAAACTATTTAATTTTTTTGAATCCGATAATCTCTTGCCAAAGCCCTGTCACATGAAAGCTAACTCCTCACTGGAGGAAAGAACTGTTAATTCCATATCCCCTACTTTTAGAGGTGAAGTACTTGGATAACTGACCATGGCACATGGCATAAGGTGGCACACAGCACTGCATGCAGCCATACAACAATCCCACACCCCTTTCCAAACCTTCCCCACTGCCAAATCCTACCAGAGCAGTGTGAGCCCATCCCCTACAGGGCGGCTTATCCCACCTCTCTGGTGACAGTGACTGCAGGCAGAACCTGTGCCTGCACTCCAATGCTTTCAGTGGGAAACCCAACAATTTGTGCTTCTCACAGGCTCAAAAATGACATTCACACACTTTTCCTTACCACATTTGCTAACAGATTGGAAATTCCTACACAAGGGTTGGAAGCAGTAATGTTTTAACATTCTACAGCTAGATTTGCAGAGTTCATGTACAGAAGTCATGAAGATGCATTAAAGTTTTGTAAGTATTTCTACATATCTCTGTGAAATGTTTAAGAACTGTTTCACCAAATTTTAAGAAGCATGTGAGAGTGGGAGGAGGTTGGGAGTTTTAGAACATGGAAGAATGATCTCACGCAGCCAGAAAAGTCACAGATAATTATTTATCAAAACAAAAGCAGGAAGAAAAGACAGTGAAATAGGATAAGAACACATAAGAAGTCATTCGAACAAAACAAAAATCAGTCAGACATTCTGAGATGCAACTGCAAAGAAGTGAACCTTCTGACCAGGTAAGGACAACTCTGCCATTTGGTGCAACAATCGGACTCCCAACTGCTGCCAGACTGAAGAGATATTTAATCCTGCTTAGTCTGCACATGTGAACTGCAAGATTCATTACTGATGTTTAAAATATCATTCATCTTTTTTTATTTTTGTCTGAATTTACTTTCAAGTTCACATTCTGCTTTCATTCCTTGGGCCAAAATAGCACTGGTCTAACATAAAGCAAACACTCTGCTGGGCAGAAGCACTGCTGCCTCTCTATTCACATAAATTGAAAAATCTCTGCTCTGCCTCCTGTTAAGATAAAAGCAACAAAGCTAGGTAGCAAGTAGAGATAGAGGAAAACATGTGAGAAACGTAGAATGAGAATACAGTTTGCTCTTCTACAGCACAGGAAGATGAGGATGACATCTAGACTCAAAAAAGATAGCATAGTGTTGTGCTGGATTTTCTCGACCCTTGACAAACCATAGCCAGGGAGGTAGAAGCTTGACACCATCTGCAGTCAAAATTTCAGTTATGGGGCAAAAAGCAAGAAACAGCTCCACAGCCTTTGCCCTTATTAATTCTGCATAGTCTATAATACATACATAAACATACACAAGTATTTATAAAGGTGAGACAAAAATCTGCCTGTTGATGCCACTGTAAGCACTATAGACTCCATTGCTACTGCTTTATGATTGAAATGCTCAGCATTGTTGCTTAGTGTAGACGTTTCATAGGCATAGTCTGGCTCTCTTCCATTCTGTTAGAAGACTTTACTGCAGCAAAACTGCTCAGCTGATGCTCACAGATGCACCTCAGAATTGTTCCCCACCAGCAGCAGAGGCTGCAAGAGCAGTATGTTACAAAAAGCAGAAACAGAACCATGTGGGTGCCAGCTACATAACAGAGCAACACAGTATGTGAGTACAAAATATTTATCAAATAGCAGTGTCATTGGTCTTTATCAGAATAATACTCAGGTCTACTAAGGAAAAAAAACACAGTGAGAATTTAGGAGGCCAAAAAGCAATTTCCTTCTTTTTAGTTTCCTCATTCAACATAGTAACACAGACTGAAAGCTACTGAGCTGGTAAAGGTCGGTTGTTGAAAGCTGGTGCTGGTAGTCTAAAGGAACAGGGCATCCAAGATTAAACAGTGTTTAAATATCAACCAAACACTGAATAAACTGTAACTCCTAGCAAATCTATAAGGCAGATTCACTTCAAAATACTCACATTCTTAAGAGAACATGAATTAATTTTCCCCCTGTTACTGTCCCAGCCAGTGCACTTTTCTTTTCATGCTTAAATGCAGCTACTTAGAAACGCACCATCAGGAACAAGAAGCTCCTCTCTCCCTTGCCCTCCTTTGGAGCACTTCCATACCAGGCACCTGTGCTCAGCCAAGCATCCTGCACCAATTGCGCTGCTGGCACCCCCACATGAATACTTTCCATTTAGGTTTGGTAAAAAATATTTTTGTTTCTTATCTGAGTCAAGCCACGACGACGTCATGAGGAGCTAGGCACGGCCAGCCCTCCTCAACATCAGTTCTCTGCTTGCTCGGAGGTCAAAAGTGAGTGCTTCAGTGCTACTCATCTCATCTAGAATTCTTGCACAAAGCAAGACAGTACTAGGGCTATGCTAGATCCCTTTTGCATGGCAGGAGAATTAGTTACTTGCAACAGTCCTTTTATTAATGTTTTCTAAAGTAAAATGCAATTTCTACCTCAAGCTTCTCTTCTACAGTATCAAAACATTTCTCTAAGAAGAGCTGCATTGCTTCTCCATTCCTCATCACTAACTGTAGTCTTCTTTATTCTAACAGACATCCTCCAGGAACGACAGACTGACAGCAGCTTTGTTTAACATGGGTTCAAATTGCTCTCCTTCAACAACTAAGGTTAGCAGACAGCTACCAAACTCATCTTCAGTATGAAGCACCAACATTAGCCTTCTCACCAGTCATCCTGCTGCTTCCTTCTTCACAAATTTTGCTACTACCTTCACTTAATATTGTCACATTACCAAAGAGTTTGTGAAAGCTTAGCAAATCCAAGTGTGAGGATTAAAAATGAAGTGTCATTAATCACTGACTTGTCAAGCAGCTTTTTTTTTTTCCAGCACAATACAGCGTTGGCTTTTTTGGAATATCCCACACCCTTAAAACAAATGAGAAAAACCAGAACATTTCATTCTAATTCAATTAGCAATAGCGTACTGCTACTGGCCCGACAAAACCACGTTTTCCATCCACAACCCCAAGCACTCAGCAGCTGATGCTTCACACCCTCTGCGTTTACAAGCTCAGGTCAGAGATAAGTCCATCAGCACCACCCAATTAAAAGTTTCCTTTCAGTGACATCTTCCCCATTTCAGTGGGCAGCCCTCGGCACTCCTGTTGAGATCACACCAATGCCCCCACATTGCAGCCCCTGCCTTGCTGCAGCCTTCTCTGACTTCATGTCTCATTCCACCAGCAGTACCTAGTACACAAAAAAAGCTATGGATGATTAAAAAAAACAATACTGTTTACCATGAGCAGCAAGTTTTCAGGACAAAAACCAAATACTTTCCCACTGGCCTCCGAAGAATACAAAAAATAATTACATCAAAGTTACGAAGTGTTTATTATTTACTAAATAAGAGAAATAGAGAAAAATGAATAATGGAGACATTAATATTAATCAGAATATTGCCTCTGTCAGGAACCAATCAGTCTTCAGTTCTTCTTCCACAGGACTTGTCATTGCTGACGAGCATTTTAGTCCATCCTGGGATCTCTAACTGTGGCTTAAATATGCCACAAAGAAACAGGGGCTGATAAGGTGGATGGATTCCCTGAGTGAACACAACTTCTCATGTCAGAGCAAGCCACAACTGAGCACTGTGACAGCCTCATTCTAACCTCCTTCCCATTTCTAAAGGGAGAGAACTACACAGTCTTTGTTAGATCTCCATTTGTTAGGTTACTATTTTAAGGTTTTCCTTCTGTGAAATGCATAATCCAACATTACAATTGCCACCATTCTTCATGTTAATTAAAACAGAATAGTTACAGACTTTAGATCTACTTTTAGATAGATATCTACTTTTGAGTAGATATCTATGTTCACAGACATGCAGAATGCATACCAAAAAAATCCAGAATCTCAATCCATTATTTTCTCCTAAAGAAAGTGTACAGCATACTAAAATAAAACATGCATTATCTTTTCTACCTTCTTTCACTGTCCTACATTCAGCCATGGAAACATCTAACTCATTTCTCTTCTTTATGTTCTCGCAAGTACAGGGGTACAAACTTCACATTCCTCAGCATCAAGAAACCACCAATTAAGTTGCCAATTACCATGCGTGCAATATCACGAAGTAGCACCTTGTGTGGCTGTAGGGAAGCTGCCAAGTCCTATCTTAGTGTCACCCAGCTGTACCACACCTTCCTGGGCTCTGGTTGTTTGCTTTTTTAATCTGGATCTCTGAAATCAGAAAGGCAGCCCTACTCCACCCTGCCAAGGCCATTTTGCATCACGGGCATTTTGTAAATGGGCACCTTCAAAGGCTCAGGGGACACAAGTGGTGGTACTAATAGGAATGGGAGGGTGGTTGGACTAGATGATCTTGCAGGTCGTTTCCAACCTTGTGATTTTGTGATTCTGTGAAGTGTTCTCCCAGAGCATCTATACCAGCTCTCACAAGAAAAGTGCACTCCTGTGACTTCTCAGGCACTGATGTGATCTTTTGGTTCAGATTTTCAGGAGCACAGCCTGAAATACCACTCATGAAGGGGAAAAAAAAAAAGATAAGCTCTGTCCCTGGCACTACAACCCCGCCCATGAAGCCACTTCTTCAGCACCCTGACATAAAACCTGCACCGTAAAAGACTCTGCTGAAGGGTCTGTCAACTATGATGGAAATCATCTTTATTATTCCACAATAATCTTTTTTCAAGGGAATCATAACCACCTTCCTCCCCACTCTCTAAACCTCCATTTCTCTGACATCAAAACAGACTAAAAGAAGAAATGACTGAAAACCAAGGACCAAGAAAAACTAATTTGCAATGCAGGGAACTATGAGATTATTCAATCAAATTGCAACAGTACTCAGGGAAATACGAGCATTTCAGAAACTTTTGGACAAGTTCCCCTGCATCACAGCGCACAAAGTAGTAGCAGGATGGACATCAGTGTGCAGATCTGCAAACTGTCTTCCAAGAGTGACTGAGTTGGAAAACGTGAAAAAACGTTTGTTTGCATAGGAAGTTCTGCACAAATGTGTGCAAGAACTTCTTTACAGTGAGGTGACGGAGCACTGGAACAGGCTGCCCAGGGAGGTGGTGGAGTCTCCTTCTCTGGAGATGTTCAAGACCTGCCTGGATGCCCACCTGTGTGACCTGCTGTAGGGAACCTGCTTTGGCAGGGGAGTTGGACTCGATGATCTCTGGAGGTCCCTTCCAACCCCTACAGTTCTGTGATTCTGTGATTCTGTGATTCTGTTTTCAAAGATCAGGATTTTCTAGCAGACTTCATCTTTTAAAAGTCAACTTCAGCTGTTATGTGGAAGAGGAATTTAAGTACTCTGTATTCTTCCATGTGACCTTTTGTCAAATACCATAAATTTCAAGGTCCTTTTGCATTTACTCATAGCTTCTTTTACTCTTATTTGTTCTGTAGGATGGCTATGCTCCCATTTCTCAAACTATTTATGTTCCACTGAAGCTACAAGTGTCACAAGTACAATTTGCAAACAAGGATGTTCAGTAAGAAGAAAATGAGATCACACAGTTAAACTTTTAAAGATGAGGAGCTATGCCAGTTAACTGAGAACACATTCCTCAACTGCAAAAGTCTGTCAAAGAAATAAAGTAGTGAAGGGAAAAAATGTGTTTATTATGCAGATACTTACCCAACATCAGCATCAGGAGTGTTTTGACCCTAGAGAATAGCTTTCTTTCCCAGAACTATTTCCCAAACAATAACTGTAATGTTTACATAGAAGAAAATATTTTGTTGAAATATTATTTTCATTACAAAAGAAATAATTTACTGGTAGGTGGACACTCAATTTTGGCACTATATACTCTAACTTAACAAAAGTTTTGTTGATGTGGAGTATTCTCACATTAATCAAGCCTACACATAGAATAGAGAATCTCTCACAAATATGAAGTGAAACAGCCTCTGAATTCAGAGCATTTACTTTCAAAAATTCTCATAACTGGCAGGGCATATCTACCTAATTCCTTAGCTCACCAAACTTCACTCATGGCAGCTGAGTTTTACACGAACACAGCAGCAAGACATGACCCATCAGTGGAGCTAAGACCTCCCTCCATCCCAAGAAACAGTGCTGACTTCATTATTTCACAACAGAATTCTCATCCTAGAAAGCACGGAAGCAGACCAAAACCTGACTGATGTAGCTGGGGAAGTTGTGGAGGGAACACAGCCCAGCCTGAGGTGGGAAGATCACATCACAGCAGGCATGCCAGCAATTACTTACCGATTAGTAGGACTTTACAAGACTCAAAAAGAAAGTCACATTTTCACATTTTCATGCAGTTCCTCTGCTCAAATTGGCCATGAAAACAACATAGAATTCTTGTAGTAAGCTGAGAAAGACTTCATCTTACCAAGTACATTGAAACTCTAAGTGGATGAAGATGGAGGAAAACAAAGTAAGGAATCAGACAAAGGAGCAGATATGATCTATTATTCAAGAAGTGCTGGGCAAGTGCCCAACCTTCAGACTATTTATTTATTAAAAGGTGAAGAAAGAACATGCTTTGGAAAAATATTTGACAATTCAGTGCATTTCTACACTAAAAACTTAAAACCTAAATTCAAAAGGCAGAGGCTAAGAATTCTGGCAAGATTTGCATCGCACTCCCTTTATTTTTCTTCCAGCCTGGGAAAGCCCAGGGGGAACCATCAACATCAAGGAAGTTGGGATGGTCTCAGCAGGCTCCCACAGAGGAAAAAGTTCAGAAATAATCTCTGTATCTAGAAACAAGGGAAATGAATCTAAATTTTGACAGAGAAACAGCAGGCAGCACTGTGGTGCAGAGAACAGACTGTACTTACGTCATAGAGAGCTTTCAGAAGAAGCATAACATCAGACAGCTAAACAAGATGCCCAAGTGAAAAAGGATTTTGCTGAGTTCATTTCCAAAACTGTAACATACAGACCTTAAGCGTAAAGTATCCTAACACTTTTGTGTCAAAAGAATTTTGTTTTAATCCCATAGATCATATCTGATAGCAGTTGTATCTGGCTGAACCACAAAACTGAAGCTTCTAATTGATCAGACCAAGGCCATACACATATACCACAAAGTATCCCAATTTCTGTATACTGAATACAGGATTCCATTAAAGCAGGAACAACAACTGAAAGCACCAAAACACATGAAATGTGGAAGTGCTCTTAATGGCCTTCTTTCTTAAACAGCCACTAGAGGAGGATCCTGACATTCCAGCATCATTTCAGCTGGAAGTTCCTCTTATTATTCCAGTTTATTTGCCTGGAGAGCAGAATAAAGTTATTGCTCAATATATGAATGTATAGTAACCAACTCGCCAGGAAGTATTTATTTAAATATTGAACTACGTTGTATGATGTACACCAAAAGAAGAACATGACTCAACTCTGGTGTCTGTAGCTGTACAATATGTGAACTGTAAATGCGCAGGAACTTCTTAATCCTTCTGTCAGTTTTGGATTACAAACTTCACATGAACCCGATGAACCAGTCATACAATATCACTATGTAATTTTGCACACAACTTCAATTAGGAGAAAAATATTTGACTTTAAATTTATTGGCACACAAGCAAGTGAAAGCCTCGCCTTGGGATTTTTCCAAAATGAGTTTCCAATCACAGCATCAGTGGCATCTGGTTCCCAAATCAAAGATTACTAAATGAACACTAAAAAAAATAAACAAAAGCAATTTAGAATAGCAATAACTACATCACCATGAGAAGCACAAAGTATTAAAAACTTGTAATTCTACATAGCCACAGCAACACATCCTACAAGCGAGAAAGTGAGCCATTTACTCAGTCTTCTAATGCAACTTTCATTCTTCATGCTATTTCCAAACAAAAAGACTGGCAACATATCATGCAGTAAGGTACTTTTTAAAGATTTCTTATATCCATTATGCTTTAACAAAAATTGGTTGGTTTACTATCATACATGCTACTTTTGTTCCTAAATGAGCACAGCATGTATAATTTAAGAGTGAAAGGACATAACTCTTGTTTATTTTCCTCTAGCTGCTTCAGCTGCACTGCTGTGCACCATTCTGACACAAGGTGTTCTCAAGACACAGAAAATAATGCAGTTTCTCTTATCAGCTGAGTGATAGTGTGAAAGGCAATGCACAGAGCTATAGAAGTCAGTTGCTGTTGTTCAGTTGTCTTTGCATTTCACTGATGGCAACTAATGAAAACAAAAATAAGCCGGCATTTTTGGAAGAGGAAGAAAAGGTGATTTGTTGGTGTTGGTTTTTTTAATATATAAAATGTTTAGATTTGTTTCTATTACCATTTCTGGGGCAAGTGCATGAGTATGCTCTAGGCAACTGGTTTATAAAACGAGAACTTTTGATTTTTGCTTTGGACCCAGCACCAACAGTTTATATTCAAGCACTGTCCCCGCTTAGCACACTTCTCAGCAGCCTACAGACTCACAGCTTACTTTTGCTTTGCCTGTCTGGACATATTCAACATACTCAAAGAGCTTTAACCACATATGCCAGAGAAAATAAGTGCTTAAAAATAAATAAATAAATAAATAAATAAATAAATAAAAAGGAGGAACTGACCTATGGCTATTCATAAATGATTAATTTAAAAAAAAAAAACCATGCATGAATTCTCTCTTCTAAAACACAATAACACGAGAATAAATGCATTCTTAGTCCAGTAGCTAAAAGAAGGAACTGTTTGACAGTATGTATGGGAACTGCTAAGTCACTGCCTGAACCTCTGATTGATCACCTGAGGTGAGCACTGAGACAGCCAGAGGAGCACAGCTGAAGGCAATTCAGCTGTGCTGCAGGAAGGGGTAGAGCACCTCTCCTAGAGCTATTTAAGGGCTGACTGGCAGTGGGGAAGGAGCTCTTTTGGACATCTGTTCTCCTGGAGTTGCTTATGCAAGCCCACCATACAGGTGAGTGTCCTTGTCTTTTCTGTTTTGGTGTAACAAATGTGTAGCTAAGTGCTCTGCTATACTGTAGCATCTGAGTATTCATTGACAGTGCATGTTAAATATACACTGCTCAGAGTAGAACACCAGATTTCAAGGATGTTGGCTCAAACTACTAAATGTGAAAATAAACAACAGTGTCAAATAAATGTTTCATCTTTCACCGGGGAATAAATATGCAGAATCTACCTCACACAGGAAGACAGCTATGCACAGTATGCAAATTTGTACACATGTAATTGTTTGATGAAGTTATCTTTTAAAAGACAAAGGTTGCTCCATATGACAGAGCTAGCAGTATATGCTACACTACATCAAATATAGCAATTATTTTTGTTATCAACCAAAGAGTGAAATAACCAACCAACAGGGCTCTTAAAGTAGAATCCATCTGGGAGGTCTAACAATGGAAAAATAGAAGAATTCACAATTCTTACATCTTAGGAAAATGTATGCAGTTGTTTTCTGAGCACAGTTGGATAACACCAGAGTGAAGGGGTTGGTCATTTAAGTGCAGGACAGCCACTGGAATTCATCAGCATTGCACACTAATTACTTAACTTAAGACTGTAGGATAAACACTGCATATCTATCGTTCTGCACTTCAGCTGTACTGGCCTTATAGCTCAAGCTTTAGCTCTCACTGGCACAAAGCGTACTGGCTGCTTACAACACTAGAAATATGCTTACCTTTTAAACCAGGTTATTCATACCCCAGTGGAGTGCTAGAGTATTAGAGGCAAATGTAAAACAAGCAAGATGATGGAAAAAGGGAATTGAATAACTGACATGACCTGATACCAAGTGAAGAATGAACAATCTTTATGAAAAAAAAAAAAAAAAGCACCAAACATGAACCATAATGGAGACTGTAGGTTATAACTGCCTAAGCCTGAGTTTAGCTAATGCAAATGACAGAGTTGTCATCTACCATCTGCTCATCGTATATCACAAAAAAACATTGTAAACTATTATCATTTGAAATCAGTTAACTTCTACAAATGGCATGTGGCTTACCTCCATTTATCCATTTGGACTGTAAAAGCTACAGGAAAAAAAATTTTTGGCAGGTAGTTCAGTAAAAATGGCTCTTTTGTGAGCTGACAAAAATAAAAAAAAGATTTTAGCAATTAGTTTTCTGTAGGCTCAACTAAAAATGTGGTGCTTATACACTCCAGAATGTATGGCTTGAGGCAAATGCGCGGAGTTTCAGCCTTAAGTGACCAGCTACTGTTTGGAAACAAGAACATGGGTGACCAAGACCGCTAGAAAAGAACTATTGATTTATGCTCAGATAGTTCAGAAGGGAAAAAAAGCACACACAAAGTTTGTTGGTTTCTTTTCTAAAACTCCTTCCCAGTGTATCACAGACTTTAAGAGCAATAAGCACTTCATTTTTGAAAGTGAACTTGTTTTAAGTCACTGAATCTGAAATCTCTAGAGGAAAAAGGCAGAATAAATTGACTATACAAGCAACCTACAATACAGAAATCACAATGTAACAGCAGGAGGACCCTGGAGTGCAAAAGAGAAACAGGTAACCCTAACCCAGTAAAGCCACATCTAAGACATACTTCAGTGAGCTCAATGACAACACCCATGCTGTAACAGACATTACTGTATGTGTCTGTAACAATTTACAGCCTTTCTATTTTAAGGAGACACATTCTGTTCTTCTATCTTTACTGATTTCTTTTAAGAAGTATGAAGTGAGATGTGGGAACACAATTTAAAATCAACCATAAGTTAGACTGGAAAGGACAAGCAAGCAGTTTTCCCTTTTTAAACCACTCCAAAAACAGAGATAAGAAGTCATCTCTACTTCTTCAATTTTGTTATTTAAATGAAAACAAAGCAGTAATTTTGTAGCACTTCTCAATTTGTCAAAGACTTTGTTATGTAGATACAACTGTAAAAGCAAAACCATTATCAAATACTTATCCAAGTTCCTTATCAAAACACAGAAATTAAGAGTAATCTCAGCATGGAAGAAAAGCCTCAAATTAACCTGGTTAATAAAGCCAGCCACAACATTTCAACAGAGATGGGAGTGGCAGCATTGTTTGACAATCTAAGATAGATAGTCTGGTTTTCCTAATTCAAGTCTTTCAGTCTGGCTCCTCCGGAAACCTGTTCTGTCTCACACTCAAGAAAGAAGAAAAACCCACAACTCAAACCAACATGAAGGATCCGCTTCCTTCAGACTTTCCATGTAATCAAAGTCATAAGCTGAAAGCCACAGAGCAGAAGACTGACTGCTATGAAGTAATTACTCACTGGCTCAAGTCACAAGACGGTGTAAGTTCTTGTGCAGCAGTGTTTGCCCCCTTCATTTAGTGATTAACACAGGATTAAAGAAGATGCAATATCAAAAGCTACTTTTCTTTTTGAAAAATGCATTTCTTGTCCTACATAATAAAACAGTATTCTGCTCTCCTCTGTCAGAAAGATAAGACAGCAGAAAGCACTACTAGAACCACACGAACTGAAGTTCTGCAGTGAGAGAAACAGCAACTGTGATGCCAGCATAGAAGCACTCCCTCCCAGCTTGGCCTTTTGCCTGACCACCAGCCAAACCCAATGTACTCTGCAGCTGTCACAGTGACCCTCTGGGACACAGAACACAGTCTAGGGGTTAATCCCAACTCGCCCTTGTAACCATCTCTATGGTGTTTGTAATTTAACCACCTGAGTGTTAAATACGTTCATGCAAAAGGTGCAATTAATCTAGCTGGACATCATGCTATGCTTTTTGCTTTGAAAAAAAAAAGAGAAAGTTTTTGAACATCCACCAGATAGAATTCTGCAAATGTTTCACACTAACGATCAGCATCCATAAACATTGTTGAAATGCCTCTTCTTTTCCCTGAAGAATAGCTGTGATCAAATGCAGTATCCTTGATCCAGCCGATCCAGTCAGCCTTTATTTGCCAACTGAAAAGTGTGTTCCTGACATTCTGCTGTTACTTCTCACATGCAATTGTGGACCACTAAGTGGAGAGCATATGGAAAGCATTTTTCAGCTTTGAGCCCCACCTTTCCCAGCCAGCTTACAGGCTGGGACAGAATAGGCGGATGTTGCTCTGTCAAGCCCAGTCCTCCAACAACAGCACAGCACTATTCACAGGCACACATTGAAACCAAAACCAACCGTAATAAATAGAGTTCTGCTTCATTTAACATGCCATATATGTTGAAAATGGCAACAGATCAAGTAAAAACCAAAGTCTTCAGTGATGCATTTGGTAATGATAGCTGGAAAGGATGTGTTTCTATTTCTGCAGGAAGCTGGAGTCCTAGAGATGCCATCAGAAAATGGCACCAGCTGCTCTGTGAGCTCCTGGAACAATGCAAGGACACAAAGCACTCTCTCCATACTGACTCCTCAGAACCACACAGGACTTCCTACTGTACTGCACAAACAACAGTCCTGCTCAGTCACAGCATTTCAAGTAAACACGTTTTTACTTTAGGGTAAGTGAAAGAGAGATGGTCGCAAATGTCAAATGTGCTCAGCTCCCCTGAAAAAAATCATACCATTTGTTGTGTCGCAGAATCATAGAACCATAGAATCAAAGAAACATAGAATCATTAAATCACACAATGGCCTGGGTTGAAAAGGACCACAATGATCACCGAGTTTCAACTCCCCTGCTATGTGCAGGGTCGCCAACCACCGGACCAGGCTGCCCAGAGCCACATCCAGCCTGGCCTTGAATGCCTCCAGGGATGGGGCATCCACAGCCTCCTTCTTCCAGTACTTCACCACCCTCTGTGGGAAAAACTTCCTCCTAATATCTAGCCTAAACCTCCCGTGTCTCAGTTTAAGACCATTCCCCCTTGTCCTATCGCTACCTACCCTCATAAACAGCTGTTGCCTGTCCTGTTCATATGCTCCCTTCATGTACTGTAGTGCTGTTGAACAGCAGCAAACCCAACTTTGCTCGGATTCATCTCTTCCATTCTTCCATTCATCCTTCCTAAGCCAGGTCTCTCCTCTCCTTTCACAAATATTGCTGCTCCTGGAACACACAAGACTCTCCTATATTTGAACCTTCTAGTTCCCCATCAGATACAATGGAAATTCAGCGAGTACAGAACTTATTACAAGGCACACAGAGAGACAGCATAATCATGTATGGATGTACAGCTTAAGGAACCAGGTTAAATAAATGTGACACATCCCTTTAATGGCAATATTAAAGATGCTACCAGCAAGCAACTTCAGTGTTCACATAACAAGTAACTACTACTCTTCAGAACATGATGAAATACTGTATTTTAGGAAGAAAGTATTTATGCTAATAGAACTTGAAAGCATAAGCAGCATGTATCCAAATTAAATCTCAGAAGGATTTCTCATCGTCTTCCTTGTCATTCTCTTTCAAACAAAATAAGGTAAACATTGAAGAGTTGTTGCATGGAAACTCTATCTTGCAATTCTTTAGAGAAGAGCAATACAATATTATCAATGATTGTAAAGGAATTATCAATTTTACAATCCTGCAACATTTACCTATATTAGTCTCCTGACTTCAGTGGAACCATCTAAGGATTAAAACTGCACCACCAGTTTCTGAAACATGAAATGGATGCTCTCCTGCACCACCACTAAGCACAATCCACACTTTCCACTTCTTATTTTCAAGCAGTTTGAAAACGCTAAAGATGGCTGACATTCAAGATCTTTCATTTGTTTCTTAATCCATTTACTAGTCATTTTCATCAGGTGGGTAAGTTGTGAAAGAACAAGAACTAGCTCTGAAATAAAAACTGAAGACAACAAGACAGTTACGGCTTTTTGCTTTTCCTTCTGCTCTTCCCAACCAAAAACTCTTCATGAATGTTGTATCTTACACCACAGTTGCTGTACAATGTCGTTTTCTAGAACCAGTGAGCACTGGAAAATTAAGGATCAAATATACATATATAAAATATTTTTAACAGTAATTTTCTCAATCCATTCCTTCCTTCATTTACTAATGTTTCTTGACATGAGATTACATACCAAAAATACTCCTGAAGTTGGAGAAATGCCATGTTAACATATCAGCTGTGAGATCCTAAAACAAACAGGATTCTTAATCAGCACTGGGCTTGGCACTTTTCAGTCAAACTCGCAGATTTTCTCCTTGGTCCATTTGAGTTGGCATTTATCCATGACTTACAAGAGTAAGATATTCACACACCTCCAAACACAACTCAAGGAAAAGCCCTGCTTTTAAGGTTTAAGTTGTTCCAACCAGTTCCATCACAGTTCTGAACACGTCCAGCTTAAGACAGAGCCTTGAAGAACACAGCCCCTTGCCTGCCTCACAGAACTTCTACAAGCAACACCTTGGCTTGTCTTAGAAGTTTTGCAGGCAAGCAAAAGAGGACCTTCTCTATCTGGCCATGAGAAAGAAGACTGGAGAAGGCAGCAAAAGGTGGAGGAAGCAGCTCAGTCGAGCCCAGCAGCACAAGACAGGCTACCACTTGAGGTTCGTTCCAGCCTTTACTAATATCACAACAATTTTGGGTTATCTGCATTAAAAAAAAAAACTGCTACATTATGGGAGTATGGTTTCTCACTGTCCTGCACAGATGAAGGCCATGTTTGCTTGAGTATCTCAAGCACTATCACAGTCAGAAGGTACATAACAAAGAATAGTAAGCCTCTAATGATGATTAGCTTCCGCATCTAGGGCTGCTTTACTTTTGAATTGGTGCTTTAGGTCAGGATTCACCCTGCAGAAAAGCTTTAGAGCTCTTTGCAAACCTTAGGCTACTGATTCCCCAACTGCAGCCCACTAGACCTCTAAGATCTGTTAGATGTGGCTCATTGAGATTGCACTAAATCACAACCGTCTCTACTTTTCAAGCCAAAAGACCAAGGTCCGTGAGAAATTTTGAGGGCTGACACTAGCCAAAACAAATGTGAGTTGTTTTTTTGTTTTTTTGGGTTTTTTTTTTTTGAGTGGTTGCTTATGGTACAAAGTCCATAGGGAAAAAAATGTATGCACAGACCTGTAACTGCCACTTAGCTCATCTTGTGACCAGGGTTTCGCAATGTCACTCTAAGTGCAGGGTTGCAAACTAAAAGAAACGCGACAACCCAGGTTGTACAGAGACTTGCTGACTCTCATTTACCTTTGCTCTCACTTGTGTATTTTCTCATCCTGCTCTCAGTCAACACATGACTGCTGGAGAACGGGCAACAAGGATCTCTGCTGGTTGATAATAAAACTCTCCGAACAAGCACTGCAATTCCCCTGAAGCAAGGGAAAACTATAATTACTTTTTTTTTCCCTTCAAAATTCATCCCACTAAAGACAATACCTGCAGTTATATACTACAAATAGTCAGAGGGATAGTTAAAACACATCTGTTTTATTATGTACTCTGGAGCACCAGCATGAGTTACAATTTATGTTAACATCACACCATGATATTTCAGTCACAAACACGTGGTCCAAACAAGAACTGAATTTTTTTCTTTTTTTACATTTTATTTTCATGATTATTCCAAGATAAGAATTACTGGCATATGGCATTTTGAGAGGAACGGCACACAGCGCCTTGCTGAACAGGATGTCGGTTGTCTTATGCAATATAAGTGTTCTTACTGCAGTGACAAGTCCCAGTGGCTCTCCCCCAAACACTTCCCTCATCAATTCATTCATTTTTTGCTACCATATTATGAAGTAATGCAAAATGTTGCCTCTACAGCACAGCTAGTTTCCACTTCAAAAGGGAAACACAGGCAATTTATGCTTTCATTAACTGCTATCTTCTTCTTCCCAGAGCACTTAACACATACACACTCAAGATGATAATCCCTGCAGGCATAAATACTGTACAATATCCAAGTCATGGAAAGGCCCACATGCACACAGGAGGATAACCTGACTGTTCAAGTTCACCAAATGTCTCCAAAGGCAGATCAAAAATAAATTAGGAGATAGTACAATAAAGAAAAAAAGTTTCAAACATAGAATTCATACCTTAAAGGACATATTACTACAACAAGTAAATGCAGAAAAGCTGGCATTCGGGTAGTGCCTAAACACAGCAACACTAAAGTCTGGCTTTAACTAAACTTTACTGATAGTGGGGATAACTTTAACTAAAAGAGGGAAGATTTAGATTAGATGTTAGGAAGAAATTTTTTATTCAGACACTAATGAGGCACTGGAATAGGCTGTGCAGAGGGGGTGTGTATACCCCACCCTGACGGTGTTCAAGGCCAGGTTGGATGGGATCCTGAGCAGCTTGATCTAGTAGTGGTTGGCAACCTGTCTGTGGCAAGGGGTTGGAACAAGATGATCTTCAAGGTTCCCTCTCATCTAAGCTATTTTATGATTCTGTGATTCTATGAATGCAGATTATCAAAAAATACATTTTTCAGAAAAAGAAAAAAAAAAAGACACCATAGACTGAACTGAGACACTATTTTGTGTATTATTACATACACATTTTTATACCATATTACATACACTATTGGTGTATGACACCAACAGCATTTATTTTTCAAGAAAGCCTGCTTATTAGAAACAGTGAGCTGGTAATTTGACAATAATAGCACAGTTAAACACAGGACCAAGATGTGAACAGTCACTTCAGGGCTGTGTGAATTCTGCAACCATGGGAGAATATTGTTCAGGAAACCCACCACCCAAAGAGGAAGCAACTCATCGTGTACATTC